AATGCCCATAGGTGCAGCATTCTCAAGAGACAGCCACACTCATCCTATGGCTGAGTTGGTGCAGCAGACTGCATGGCCTGCAGGGCCCCTGACAGGGCCCCTGATACCCCCCTGCTGGTTGAGAATAGCTCCAGAGGGTCGTGAGGAAGGAGGCTGGCGTGGAGTGGCAAGGCCTTGTGTTGGCACAAGACACACCTTTGAGTGGGCTTAACCACTTCCCAGACACTTCTGTGCCCATCACCTCTCTTGGTTCTGCCTTCGCATCAACCCAGCAACAAAAGATTCTAATCCCAAATTTATCATTGACAAAACTGAGGCTGAAAGAGTTTATCTGACCTTTCCCGGGTCACTTCATTAGTAATGGGGTGAGAGTCCAAGTCCTGCGGAATTTCCTAGGTCCGCTCTGTGCCAGGCCGCACCTGGGCTCGGGAGCCTGCATGGACAGCGGGGGTGCAGGTCCTCTCACGGAACACAGCCCAGAGTGAGGCGCGAGACTCGCTGCACTGAGATCCCTAAGAGAAAGGGGTCTCTCTTCTTCCTGAAGGCCCTGGGGGGCCCTGAGGGGCTCTGCATGCTCAGTGCCACACAGAGGAAGTAGACATAGGGTGTAGGTCATTGAGGAACTTCGGGGTCGTTGGGAAGAAAACCCAAGGCAGAGGTGGACTTGGAGGTGAATGCAGGTCGAGGCGTATCTGGCTGGTGGGTGGCGTGAGCGTTAGCTGTAGGGCAGCCTCGGCCTTGCCGGCTCCTGGTGAAAGGATGAAGGATGCTCACAGAGCTGTGCTGAGGGTGGGTGAGCTGATCCTGCGCAGGGCGGGAACAGCGCTGGTAAGGCGAGGCCATGTGAGCAGCAGCACCATTCAGGATGGGGAGGCCCCCAGGAGAGCAGGTGCAGCAGGAAGAGGCTGGCACCATCTGAGAAAGGGGGAGTGACTTCTTTGGCCAAAAATGAGGTTTGTGTGATTTCGGTCAAGGAAAAATCGGCTTGAATATAGCTGGTGGTTCCACGCTGAGAGGGGGCATTTGCTCTCCCCCGACCTACCACTGGGGGCTCGCTCGCGGCTGAGCTTCCAGGAGCTGCTCTGTGCTCAGCTGGAGCCCCAAAGCCTCTCAGACCCCTGGTCATGCCCCAGTGACAAAATGAAGACTTCACACATGTTGCTGAGTGGAATGCAAAATTGACCAGTGTTTTGTTTTGTTTTTCTTAAAATAAGATACAGTAAAATTCAACTTAGGGCAAAGGTGCTGGGAGACAGGCCCCAGACAAGATGGTGCTCTTGTTGTTAAGGGTATTTTAATAGAGCCCAAGGGAGCCTCTCCACTCTGACCCCTAGAGGCTAGATAGCCTCTTCAGCTGGGCTACACCCCAATAAACTTGAGCGCTAACAGATCTCCCATGACTTGGACACATGAGTGTGAACCAGTTTTTTATCCGGGCCCTGGACGTGCCTGGTGCACTGGGAACATCGCAACTACCTGCCGCCTGCACCGGAAGCCTCAGCAGAGTCGATGGGGCCAGTGCAGCTGCTCTGAGATGTGTGGATCCCTAGGGGAGGCATCCCCAGGCCAGTGCCTGTGCTGTTAAACCATGGCAGAGAGAGACCCCATTCTGTGTCCATCTTGGGCTGGCCCAGAGACAAAAGGCTATCTGCTTAGTTACTAGAAATGGGAGTCTTTGCCTTCATCTCTGAAGATTACTTTATTATTTGTCTCATTCACACAGCAGGTGCTGCCTTTTAGTTAAACCACTGGGGAAGGGGATATCTGTGGGCACCAAAGTGTCCTCTGCAGGGCCTCCCTGGTGGCACAAGGGGTTAAGATGCAGCCCGTGAAGCTGTCTGCAGCCTCTTCAGCACGAGTTCGATCCCCGGCCGGCCAGGGAGCAACCCACATGGCACAGCAGACCTCTCCTGGCTCGCCCACTGCTCTCCTCAGCAGTGTACTTCAGTCAGTCTGCCCACTCTGTCTCTGGTGAATCCTCTCACCCCAGCACCTCTGACCTGTGCCCCAGCTCTTGTATGCATAAATAAATAAATCTTATAAAAACAAAACAAAACAAAAAAAACAAAGTGTCCTCTGCAGCTGGATGGGGCCCCTGAGATCTGCAGTCGCCTGCAAGGGGATGCTACTGTTTCTTTTCAAACATTACCGCACATCATAATCACCCAGAGATTTTAAGCATCCCAGACTGCACCCCAGATCAGTTATAGCACAACTTCCTGGGATGGGCTCCGGATGTAGTGTTTCGTCCACCAATGCGTCCATATGCAGCCAAGTTTGAGGACCACGGCCTCTATTCTATATCATCTCTTGGATAGGAAAGGATTAGTGGGCCCTGGAGGCTGTGCTGACGGATTGGCTGAACTATTTTGGGAGGTGATTCATTCAGTCCGTGGGTCAGAGCTCGTCTGCCAGATTTAGTGTGGGCGGCAGCCACCCCTGCCCAAGGGCTGACGTCCCGTGTGTGAGATTTGGCATGTTGGCCTCACAGGGCCCCCAGCATTCCCAGGCCCAGATGCCGTGTTCTGAGTAGGTCCTGGAATGTGGGGGTGCCAGGGGTTTCTTGCATCACTTCCCCAGGTTTGTGGTGGGAAAGGGAGAAAACAGATGGGTTTATCTGCCGAAGAAAAGGGGAACAGGAAGACGAGCACCTAGGCAAAGGCCCCTCTGACTCGCTTATTCATAACCAGGTCTGGATACTGGCCTTTGAAAGCCTGGACACAGCCATCTTTTCTGACAGGGTAATGGCTGTAGCTAAGTTGGAAACTCTGAGATCTTCCAGGGGATTCTAGAGTTTTCTTTCCATTGTTTAACTCCTTTTTGTAGATTAGTATGAGAACGTCATTCACTCCTGAGGAGTGACACTCTGTATGCCTCAGAGGTGGACGGAAGGGAGCACACAATAGTGGCTGGACACCTGTCTTCTCCCACTGAAAGCCCCACAGGGCGGACAGGGGAGGGCAGGCCCAGCCACATCTGTCCCATGGGGCTGGGTCTTCAGGAACTGGGGGAGGAGATGAGCTCCATTTTGAGGGTCCCTGGGTTAATGAGTCAGCCATAAATAAAGACCGTCAGAGGTCACACCACCTGACACCTCATGCCAACAGGGAAAATCCTGGGGATCACTTCCCCTCAGTGGCCTTTGATGGAGTTAAGGTCCAGGTGCAGAGCCTGAGTGGCCACACAGGAAAAGGGTGGCCATGCATCCTGGTAGCTGCTTCTCCCTCAGAGGCTGCCATCTTCTCAGAGGACACCATGCCCCTGGGTCCTGAGAGTTCTTGGGGTCACCCTCGGCAGACGCACGTGGGTGAAGTCTTCACAGGCAGCCCCCCTTAGAGGCCTGGCTTAGCAGTGAGCACGTGGAAGTGGTGGGCCTGCCCTTCTTGAGGGGGTATTGGGTGACATGGGCAGAACCAGGCTCCAGACCCAGATGAACTTGGCGCTAGCCCTGCTCACACACACTGGTAGGGGACCACAGACACGGTTCAGACCTGCGCTGAGCCTCAGTTCTGCGGCCTCAGTTTTGCAGGATAGGAATGCCGGTGTCCTGCTAAGAGAGGGGCAGCAGGCCAGCTCAGTGCCTGCATGCTCAGCATTCCAGGAGAGTGACAGGGAAAGCTGCTGTGGCGAAAGGGGATGCCATGCACCGTGCTGCTGAGGGGTGGGACCATACCAGCACCCCTGGAAGCCACAGAACATGATGTTTTACTGGCTCTTGGGGTTGGGAAGTGGGAGGAGGAAGTGGCAGCCTGCGCCTCAGGGTGCACATGCCCCCAGAGGGGCATGCTGAGGGGCGGGGCCAGATCAGCCTCTCTGGTGGAGAGATTCAATGGGGCGGGAGGAAAGGAGGGGTGAAGGGAACTGTGAAGCCCCCCAGCCAGACCAGACACCCACAGGATGGGGCTTGGGGGCGTCAGGGAGGCGGCCTAGAGAGCAATCACCCCACCTTTTGGCTTCATTTTGTTGTCAGGGGAATCCTGACAACCCCCTACCCTGAGTCTACTGACTTCTAAGATCAATTCAATTCTGGGTGAATTTTGACCAACCCGCTTATTCCTCTATACTGTGACGCCGGCACCCCACCGGCACCCCACCCCCACCAACACGAATACAAAACTGGGAAGTGGTGATGAACTTGAGAAGAAAGCCAAGGAGTTGACCTGGGTGTGAGTTGAGTTGCTTAGACCCTTATTCACCCCTGAACATTGCCCTACCCCCCAGTTCCTCAGCTTTGTCCTTCCCTTATCCCAGGCCCAGGGGGCAGAGACAGACCAGGGGAGCAGATGAGAACGAGGAATCAGGGTCTGGGGAAGAACGAGGCAGAACAGACCTGGAGTCTCCTTGCAGTTCTGCTCTCACGAGCTGCAGGACTTCAGGAAAGGCGCCGAAGCTCTCAGAGGTTCAGCTCATAAGGATTATGCACACCAGGGACTCGGCACTGGGGGACCTGAGTCATTGAGGGGTGCCTCTGGGCCCCAGCAGAGGAGGTGTCTCTGGTCACATAGACCTGCCCCCACCAGCTCATCACCCACCGGACAAACACCTTCACTTGCCGTGGGCAGCATGGCATGTGTGTCGGCCTGGGCCCCCTGATGTCCTGCCCCCTGTGCTGGCAGTTCCCAACCATCCCTCTCCTATGGTTCTGGGTCATTTCCTGAGGAGATACACATGCCTTACGTTTCTGTGGGTCTCTGTGGCCCCCCAAAGCACCTCCAGGGCATCTCTGGAGGCACGTGGGACTCGCCTGTCCTAGAGGGTCAGGCACACCCTGAGGGTGCGCCTAAAATGGGTGCTTTGCTCCAATCTCACAGGTGAGGAGGTGTTGATGCCTGTTACCACCCCAGGGGAGGCACAGCTGGGGCTTGACCTCTGACCTCACCCGATGTCCCTGCCACACCCATCCCACCATGCAGCCAGTGAACCCATCATCTTAATCAGAGGCCTTTGGGGGGCTGTGCAACAGCTCCTCGTCCTGAGCATCCTCACTCTGTCTGTTCCAGGATGTGTGCAAGCCAGCCGAGGAGGTGCGGCGGCCACCCACGCTCCAGGAGATCAGGCAGAAGATCGAGAGCTACAATAGCCTGGAGAAGAACTGCCTGGGCATGAAGCTGGTGAGCGCCTGCCTGGTGGCCCCTGGGGCTGCCGCTGCCCCCGTGGACCCTCCCCTTTCTCTGAGCCTCTGGGGCCTGGGCCGTGCAGGCTGACTGCCTGGGCTGTCTGGGCCTGGCATGCTTTGGGGAGGAAGAATGAGCTTTAGAATAAGATCCAGAGCCAACCTCTGGGCGGCCTTTTTGCTCGTGACTTTCGGAAACTTACTTCTCTGAGGGTCAATACACAATAGAGATATTTGTGCCCATTTGTCCAAGCTCAAAGGCCTTTGCCGGGCCCCAGAGCCCTGACAGAGAGCTACTCTAGCTCCTTCTCCCCCCATCGTGGTTGCTGCACAGCCACAGCCCTGTCTGGGGACACTGCCTTAGATGGTGCTCAGGGCTGGAGAAGAGGGACGCAGGAGGGCAGCCACTTTGTGCCAGGTTCCTAAAAGCCCTGGGGGGGGGGGGGCGCGGAGGGGGGGTGGCTGGGGGGGAACAGAGAAGGTAGAACTCCGCCCCCTGCTGGCGGCTGGCTGCAACTAGCTCTTGAGTTCTCAGCCTAAGTCCAGTCACTTATGTGCAGGGGCTTAAAAGGCTTGTGGGCTGTGGGCGCTTTAGAAAGAGAAGTGGGAGGAAATCCACGTGGCTGGGTCCCCACGGACCTTACTCAGAGCCCTCTGCTTGTCCCTGGCTAGACAGCAAAATCTAGTCCCTGCCCCTTCGAGTGTGGGCTCACCAAGGGCAGTCAGCATCTGCCTGGTGGCGGAGGGTTTGGGCAGGCAGCCTCCCCCTGGGCCTATGACCCAGAGTGACAGGATCGCGTGAGGCCGCCCGGCCCTGACCCCATGAGGCCTCCCCACCCACAGAGCGAAGACGGCACCTACACGGGCTTCATCAAAGTGCACCTGAAGCTTCGGCGGCCGGTGACGGTGCCTGCGGGGATCAGGCCCCAGTCCATCTACGACGCCATCAAGGAGGTGAACCTAGCGGCCACCACGGACAAGCGGACGTCCTTCTACCTGCCACTGGATGCCATCAAGCAGCTGCACATCAGCAGCACCACCACGGTCAGCGAGGTCATCCAGGGGCTTCTCAAGAAGTTCATGGTCGTGGACAATCCCCAGAAGTTTGCGCTCTTCAAGCGGACACACAAGGACGGGCAAGGTAGGAGAGGGCAAAACCAGAAACCACCTCATCCCCTCTGCTCCTGCTGAGCACTTCAGGCCTCATGTGAGGCGGGGGTTCGGGGCACAGCCTCCCACAAGGTGCCCCCCTAGTTGGCGGCCACACATGTGCTATGGGCTGCTCCCCTAACTCACTCCACTCAAGGCTCAGAGAAGCCACACCTGGGCTCCCACCCCTATCTGTGGAGTGGGGGCAGACCCCACCACCAGGAGATGACCCCCTGGGAGGTCATACTTCCTGCTCTGAGCAGTCACAGAGAGTGTTGTCGCCTCCCCCTCGTCAGGCTCATGTCACCCCGAAGGGCGCTGTGTCCGCTTCAGCTTATAACCACCCTCCTCTGTTTCCAACGTGCTCCTGTCACCGGGCCCCAGCCTGTCTTTTCAGAGATGACTCCTAACACCCCCTCTTGGCTTGCAGTCCTCTTTCAGAAGCTGTCCATTGCTGACTGCCCCCTGTACCTGCGCCTACTCGCCGGGCCCGACACGGATGTCCTCAGCTTTGTGCTAAAGGAGAATGAAACTGGAGAGGTGGAGGTAGGTGGGGTCTTCCTGTAGCATGACCCCCGCCCTCAGGGCCATGGGCTGGGAGTGTGGGAGTCGGGGGGTGTCCTCACTGTCCAGCAGCAGCAGGCCCCTGCCACAGCAGCAGGGGAAACTGAGCTGCAAGGACCTGACCCTGGGTGCGGGGTGGGGTCAGCGTTCCAGCCAGGACAGTGAGCGCCCTGGGGTAGTAAGTCAGGGCCTCTTTCTATTAAGGCCTGTGGAAAGAAAGGGTTTCTTTCTTGTGCTTTATTTCTGAAAACTCAGGGTAGAGGGGCGCCGAGAAACTCGCTGTGCTCAGGCCCGTTGTTTTGTTCCGAGATTGCCTAAGGCCTAGCAAGTTCCATCTCCGGACTCCACTGGGTATAGACATTTTGGAGCCATTTCTCTCTCCCTGGTTCTTAAAAACTGACCTACTTCACCTAAGGGGAGCTAAGAAAGGTCCAGTCTGGTGGTGTAAATGGAATGGAGCAAGCTGGCATGCCCCTGGGGTTCTGGGGAGAGCGGCCTTGGAGGTCCCTGTGGAGGTCTGGGGGTTAGGCATGCTGTGCTGTCCCTTCTCTCTGCTGCAGCCAGCTCTGCCTCTGTCTGTTTTATATGCTGGAGTGTGTGGAAGGTTTGTTTGGAAGAAGTATTCCACTGAAAATGTTTGAACACAGTTGTCCCATAGAAGCTCACAGGGCCCAGGGTTCAGAGACCTGGCTTCTAGCTAGGGTTCTGTTGCCATGAGCTCTGTGATTGTGGTTAAACCACCTTCCCTCTGTGGTCTTCAGTTTTCTCATTTAGCCACGGTGGGAATTAAACCAGATAAATTTTAATATTCCTTTGTGCTCGAAATCCCTGGCACTGCGGGGCCTCAGCACCTGGGTCAGCCCGAGAGAAAGTCAGGCTTGCTTTCTGCCCTTGGCAGCTACGGCTCTTCCCGTCAGGCCTGAGCTGGCCAGGCTGTGTGGCCGGACCTCGCTGTCTGCCCTGCTGGCTGGGGGAGCCCGAACCCTCGTCCCACAGTAGGTTGGGGAATATGGGTGGTTTCCCTGAGTTCACATGACCCACGAGATCAAGGGAGCGTTAGGCCAAAGCACAGAAGCCCAAGCTCAAGTCATTTCCCCTCCAGCTGCATGTTGGGAGCCAGGAGGGATCACCCCAAGCAAGCAGGCCCATGGGGACCCCTGGGGCTCCAGCACGCCTGTTAAGATCTGTGCTGCTGCAGAGAAAACCTGAGATTATTGATTCTCAGTAGAGAACATGGCTCACGGGCTCTTGTCAGGAGGTGGCGGGTTTGCAATGCTGCTGGCGTGGTGTGAGGGACCCAGCTCCACACACTGTGCCCACCCACTCAGAGCGGCGGGCAGGCCGGGGCCTCGGTGACACAGCTTCTAACTGGTCTCCTGTTCCTTTTGTTCCCCGCTGTCCCTCTCACCCACAGTGGGATGCCTTCTCCATCCCCGAGCTCCAGAACTTCCTAACAATCCTGGAAAAAGAAGAACAGGACAAAATCCAGCAAGTGCAGAAGAAGTACGACAAGTTTAGGCAGAAACTGGAGGAGGCCTTAAGAGGATGCCAGGGCAAACCCGGCTAACCAGTCCTGCTTCCTCCTCCCTGGTGCCCATGGATTTATTTTTATTTTATTATTTTGCAATAGACACTTTTTCTCAGGACACCGCTGGTGGTGCGTGTGCCTGCCCTGCAGCTCCAATGTGGCATAGACTCCCGGTGGGCACGTGGGCGCCACCCGCCGCCTAGGCCAAGGGGCGGCCTCTGTGAGAGCGCCATGCCCCTGCACCACCCACAAGGCTCCCACCAGCTGGAACCATCACCCCAGTCGGCAAAGGAAAGGAGGAAGGTCTCAGACCTACGTGTTCTTTTGCTGGCTTCGTCTTCCTCAGTTTTTCTTATTTGCCACCATCATTTCTTTATTTATGAGTTGAAGGTGTCGGATCCTCCTTCCGCAGGTCTGAGCTAACCCCAGAAAGCAGGATCATGCTCCCTCACTGTCTGAAAGGGGGCTCATGATGCCACTGGCCCTGGCTGCTCCAGCGAGTAGCACCAAAGCGGGGGTCACCTGACCTGTGGAGGAGCCGCCATCTGCCCTGGCCCTGGTCACCCAAGTCTGCTGATGTGGAAACCCAAAGGGGTTATGTTTCTGCCCTTGAGTGTCCTTAGCCACATCTTCATCACCAATGGTCTCTTTTTGTTGCAAGTTTGCATTTAATATTGCCATCGTCCTCAGTGTTTCCCACAAAAGGAAACCAGCCATCTATCATTTACACAGTCTCTTCTGTGGAAATCAGCTACAGAAAGCCAAAAAGCTTGGAGCTATGTCCGAGCTGTCTCCATCTCCCCCTCCTCCCCACCCTTGCTGGAAAGCATGGGAGGGCCTGGCTGCCTCGGTTTCCCCACGGCCTCCAGCACTGCCTCTCTCCTCCCAGTGAGACTCTGGACTCTGCAGGTTGTAGGGAAGGCTGCCTCCCCCTCGCCACCATGGAGTCTTCTGCTCAGAAGCCTGGCCAGCCCCTGGCACTGTGCTCGGTGCGCCCGTGGGCCTGGCCGCCCGCTGACCTCAGTGCCTTTTTGTTTGCAGAAGGAGACAGGAGCAGCGTGTGTGTGTGTGCGCTTGAGGCTCTGCTGCTGGCTTGCTCCTGTCGGGAAGTGGACAACAGCGGAGTGGGGGACAAGGCCAGGAGAGCCCTACCTCCAGTACGGGGCAAGGGGCACAGGCCTCTTCCCCACCTGAGGCCCTGGACTTGGACTTCTAATAAGTAATAGCAAACCGCATTGACTGGGAAGAGCGGATTCCCAATTATTTGTCCTGGCTCCTTGTTTAGATTCAAGCTGGAACTAGCCAAACCATCCAGGCTGGGGGCTGGGCTGCGGGCTCTGATGCAGAGGGCCGGGACTTCTCACTTTCAAAGCAAGGCCAGTTTTCCCATTTAGCCCTGACGCCATTTCTTTGCTGTCCTCTGCCTTCCCAAGTCCCTCTTGGAGCAGGTCAAGCCCGAGCTGCTTCGTGTAGCCTCTAAAGTTCCCTCCCTGACCCTTGCCAAGTCCACATCGCCTTGGATCCCAGAAGGAATGCTGACCCCATTCATACAAACTGTGTGTCGTCCTCAGAGCTGCAAAAGTGAGAGAAGCTAGCAGCCTTAAAAGACTTCTAAAAATCTTTTAAAACCACAGAAACCCTAGTTACCTGCCATCTCATACTCAGCCTTATCACTTCCCTTCCTTGAAAGCTCTCTCTCCCTGAAGGTTATGACAGGGAGGGCAGAGACGACTTTCCCTCCACGCCGCATGAGTAGAAGGCACGGCTCTACTGCCACGCTGTGAATGCTGCTGAGAACCTCCCTCTAGCGGGGATGGCTATTTTATTTTTAAGAAGGAAAATCTAAGTCATGTACATATATACATAAAGGCATATCTCTCTATGTAAAGAGGTGTTTATGAATTGAGAAAATGATGGGAAAATTCAGACTTCATCTCAAGCACAGTTAGACCCAGGCCCCACCTGAGGTCTGAGTCTCCAAGGAAAGTACGTCAAGTTCGCTGCGCCACCCTGGGTGGGTGCAATGCTGGCAGTGCCTTCTATCATTGTGTCGCTCAGTGTCCCAGTGAGTGTTTTGAGGTATTTTCTTTTAAATATGTTTCTTATCTCGGTTTTGAAAAAAGTAATAAAAGCTTGTTGCAAAAATGATTCCGACTGGAGACGTGTCCCTTCACCCTCTTACGGAAATTGGGAACTGGAGAGGGGGCGCGACAGCAGCAGGCAGGCTTCTCTTGAAACACAGCAATGAATGGTACTGAGCAAATGATTTTTTTTTAAAGATTTATTTATTTATGCATACCTGGGGTGCAGGCCAGAGGTGAGGGGGGGTGAGAGGATTCACCAGCGACAGAGTGGGGAGCAGAACAGGCAGTTCTACTGAAATACACTGTTGAGGGGAGCAGCGGACGAGACAGGAGAGAGAGGTCTGCCATGCCATATGGGTCAGCTCCCTGGCCGGCTGGGGATAGAACTTGTGCTGCAATGGATGGAGAGAGATAGCTTGATAGCGCTGTTAACCCCTGTGCCACCAGGGAGGCCCCTGAGCAAATAAATTCAAGAAAATTGTCTAAAGGCACGGTTGATGGGTGCTGCCCGGTGACCAGCTATTCTGTCTCCACAGAGCTGGAGCAGAAAGGAACTTATGACAGAGAGAGAGACTGAGCTAGCAAAGAGGAAGGGCTTTTTGGAGCTCAGGACAAGCTACTGAGGTAGTGGCGATTCTTCTAGTTCTAGAATAAAGTGAGATAGATAGGAATGTGTCTTGGAAAGTTTGAGTTCCTCACCTGGGAGAAGGCTAGATTCAAGGACCAAACCGGTTCCTTTCGCTTTAGTATTACCCAGCTTCATCAAAGGAACCTCAGTCCTCGTGGAAACAACCACACAGAAAACAAAAGTCATTAAAAGGAAGTTCTTGCCTGCTCCCCGGCACAGATCCCAACTCAGCACAGGCTCCTCAGAGCTCGTTCAGCTCGCCCCACCTCCCTGTCTATTCACATTCTTATAATTATCCAAGAACCGGCATGACTTAGCATCTGGCCACCTAGGCCTCCAGAGGCATCTCTTTCAATACTTTTGCCAAAACCTAGAATCCCAGAAGTGAACCCAAGTGTTCGCTTTGACACTCATTTGGTTACAGTGTGAGGTCACTAAGTTCAAAGTTGTTAAGTTTGACCTTGATTTTATAGATATACACACTTAGAGTTTGGCTTAGCACTTAGGAAAAAGAATGCATGATACCGCCTACCTTTCTCCTGCCTTTCTGCGTGTACCTATGGTATTCACAGGAGGACAGGGAAGATGACTCAATAAAAATGTGTCATCATTACTGAAAAAACATTATTCCAAACACAGGTCTCGATAGCACTGTCACAGAGCAGAATCTGAGTGAAAGCACAAGTCAGAGGAGCTAGACCTGGCCCCACCACTTGCTGGCTTTGGATCCAGCAGGGATTAACAAAGCAAGACACGACCTCTCTGAGCCTCCAATCCCTTCAAGATTGTGTAGAACCATCAGGTTTGTGAAAGGACTTTATAAAGTACTTCATGTTATTTGTATTCATATTAACATCATTTCATTATTACGATATAGTCTGTCCTCCCTCAGCTCAAACTCGGGCTGTCCAAAGGTTTTGTTGCATTAAAGCTCTGTTTGGGCTAAATGTCTAGAAACGCTTTCTCAGGCCAGCAGAGAGAGGACATGAAGTTTCCTATGGAGGTCACAGGTGAAAAGGCCTAGCTGGGCTTAATAACAAGATAGGAGCTGTCTCACACTTGTTTTCAAATCCATCCCTTCCTTTTCAAACTCCAGCTGAATAATTTGTGGGTATTTTCAAGTCTTTCTTATCTCGGTTTTTTTAAAGATGAAAGAGAAAAAAGGAAGTAAATTGAAGTTCCCCGACCTCTTGGTAGTTCAGCTCAGCTCTTACCCCTCCTATTGCACAGGGGTTGCTCTGGTCACCGAGAGGCCTCCGGCTAACTGAGCAGGGACAGAGCAGTGGCTCTGAACTTTTCTGCCCTTAGTGATCCCTTTGGGGAATCTGACAGCAGTGAACTCGCTTAGGAAAATGATCTCACAAAATCTTGTGCACCATTTCAGGGAGTTTATGGACCCTCCAATGACCAGGGAAAGGCCACTTCCATGAGCCCAGGGATTGGGCGGGTGAGACGCTTCACTGCGGACACATCACAGCTACCACAGTGCGTGCGGCCCTGGGAAAGGCCCCAGCATTGGGGAAGAATCGTGTCCCATGCCATGCATGGCCTAAGTGCTTTTCTTGTTTCTTATTTCTAGTGAACCTAAATTCCGCTGCAATTTTAGGACGAATTCTTTCTTTTGTTGTCTTGGTTGAGAGAATAGCTAGGTTCTGTTTTCCATCAGAATAACCCCTTAGAGACTGGTGGAACTATTTTTTGGGTGAGGTGAGATAGTAGGAACAGATGAGCAGGAGGCTGTGACTTTAAAAACAGGAAGGCCCCACCTGTCTGAACTTTGAATGGGTTGTTTGGCCATGAAAGGAGGGAGGATCTAAACCACTGAAACCACGCGCGTGGAAAAGGCTCTCCAGAACAGCCTCTTCTGCTGATTTAAAATGCTTACGGTTAGAAAATTTAGCACAACATTGTAACTAAGTAGAGGAAACAAGAGGCAAAACAGATTTAGATGAGAATAAAAATTTATTTTGGTAAATAATTATATTTTTTTATTTGCAAAAGCTGAAAATGCTCATATAAATTACCAGCCCAGAGCTTGGATTTCCACTGGAACCACTTTATAAAACAAGGGTCTGTCACTTCTTCTTACCAGGCTTGGAGGCCTTTTCTAGGCCTTGGATGTGTTTTCGAGGAAGCTGATACTCTTCTACAATGCAAAAAAGTAGAAACTCCTCAGTGGTGTGCAGCCTACTTCCCCTCTGTATCGCAACGTCACTCCTTTGGTCCCAAGCCCCAGGGACCGGGTCAGCAAAGGTGGCTCAGCTCACCTCCCAGCCTCACCCACCACCCCCCTTGCCCCCCACTCCCCGCACTCATTCCACTGTCCAGCCTCTGTTTAAACCACTTCCACCAAGAGTTTTGCTCTTCTGTATGCAGCTCAAACTCGACTCCTACAGGAAGCCTTCAGGGACCACCATCTGCCCTTACACCTCCAGGCCTACATGTGTTTTTCAGTAGTTTTCACTTTCTAGGTGCACTTCAGGCATTTAGAATGTCCTCATGGGAATGTGTGTGATTGGGTCAAGTCAGGTGTTTGTCTATGCTCCCCCCAAGTCTTCCAGCACTTCATATGGGTCTTCATTAAAAGGAGCTCAACTCTAAAAGTTAACTGCCAGGTACTACCATAGCCCGTGCAATACATTTGACTTCTGAGTACTTATTATGTACCAGACCTGAGAATGAAAACGTAAGGTCTCTGCCTCAAGGCACTCATCAGCAGGATTTTAGACACCAGAAAAAAATTAGCCAAGTTGCATACACTAGCCGGAAACAGAAACACAAATGGAAAGTGCGATGCCAGCAATTTTTAAAATACTAATTTAAGGAAACTCAGAAAAAAGGGGACAAGCTCTGAAACAGGCTTCCTGTTACCCATGAGCTGGGCCAATGTCAGGCAGATTTGGGTTGTGGGTGGGCACCCCAGTGTGGAGGTGCACAGTGGACTCGGGGAACAGCACAGCTGAGGGGGATGTGGAAGCTACCAGAGAGCCTCAAGGGAAGACCGGGGTCAGGAAGGGTTGTGCTTGTTGAGCTTAGATTATTCTGAAAGCACTGAAGAGGCAGAAAGTTTTTTAGAGGGCAGTGATGTAATCACATTTGTTTCTGAAAGCTGGCTCAGGCAGAGACTGGGAGGACAGTTCGAACTGAGGACAAACTGGAGACTGAGTGACCCAGAGCTGGGAGAAAGAACTCAGGCTCTGGAGTCGACAAAACAAAGGTAATAGCCCCGTTCCAGGGCTCAGCAGCTAGGTATCTCAGGGCAAGATCCTCTCTGACCCTTCATCTGCCAAACAAACAATTCTGTACCCCCTGCGGTACAGAAGGGGCATGCCTGCACGAGCCCAGCGAGGGCCTGGCACAGCCTGGAGCTCAACAACTGCTTTATGTCTTACTAGAGAAGGGCAAACCAGAGAGAACACTACTTTAAGGTATGGCAGGGAGAGCAATGAATTTGGGATCAGGCCCAAACATCTGTCATTTGTTCCACTGCCTGCTGACCGCTGAAGCTCTTCGGCCATCTAAATCTATCAACTGGAGTCAGCTGAGTCAGCTGAAAGGTGTTTGCCAGGTTAGACCAACATTTCTTCTTCTGGAGGGTGGATGCTCACCAAGCAGCAGCCGGCTGAGGTGGTGGACCTGATTTCCCTGGATCTGGACCTGCAGGCTGTCCTTGGTGCCGGGGGCAGACGTGACAGTGGTGCTGGCTTGGCATCGCTGCTGGAGGACGGCCGCCACTGAGCACGGGTCCAGACCATAGGCTTCCAGGTTCCGGACCACAGTCACCTGTGGGGATGGGGCGGGAGACTGACGGGGGGAGCGGATGGCATGCCAGCCCTCAGGGCAGCCCCCTAGCCCACTATGTTCACCATCCCTATAACCATCAACGTCCAAATCATTAATTTTTGTACTCTAAATTGATTCTTTCTACCCCATCCAAAAATATGTGTTATATAATTTAGTGGGATACTCTCTATTCCCACATATAAAACAAAGTGTTTAAAAAGGTTTTTTTATTATTATGGGAAATTAAAAATATAAATAAAAGTAGAACAGTATGATGAGCTCGCGTGTATCCCTCACCAACTTTAACAATGATAAACTCTTGTTGGCAACTCTGATTCACCTCTAGCCCTGTTCTCCTCCCTCCCCACTTTATTTATTTTTTAATTTTTGCGTAGAACTGGGGTATAGGCCAGAGGTACGCGGGGTGTCGGAGCAGAAAGAAGATTCACTGGAGACAGAGTGGGGAGCAGAACAGGTGGAGCTACTGAAATACACTGCTGAGGGGAGCAGCAGGTGAGACAGGAGAGTTCTGCTGCACCATGTGGGTCAGCAACCTGGCCGGGATCGAACTCAGGCCATATTGGTGATAGTGCTGAGACTTAACCCCTAGATCACCAGGGAGGCCCCCCCCCCCTTGTTTCTTTAAAAAAGAGTTCTCCCTGACTCATGCCCAAAGATGGAGAAGTGTGTTACTATTGGGGTAGGCTGGGGAGAGCTGCTTTCAATAAAGTCTACAAATACCCTTAAGCTTGTCGAGGGATCCAGACCAGAGAGAGATGGTCCAGGTCATATTGATGCCAAGCCCTATCTGAGGCTTGAACCCCAACTATTGATACATCTTCTTTGTAATAACTGGTCATTTAATCTTTGCTTGCAGACCTGCAGAAAACAACTCACTATTTTAGGAAACAACAATTTCAATGTTGGACAATTCTAATTGTTACTATTAATTTTTTAATTAACGCTTAAATAAGTTAATATACATAGAAATTGCTTGGTACAGTGTCTGGCACATAATCACACACTCCAGAATAGCAGCTATTGTTAAGTGTTATTAAGGTTTTCATTACCGGTTCTCATTCATTGATGTTTATATATCAAGAAGTATTCTAAGTGCTTGACCTATGCAGATTCCTTCATTTGATCCTCACAATGCTTTGTAACGTAGGTATTACCCTCATTTAACTTGATCAAGGTCAAACATTGAGGCAAAGGCCGATTGGAACCCAGGTCTCTAATTTCAAAGCCCATGCTCATCACAATACAAAGTTAGAAAGTGCTTTATTTTGAACCCAAGTCTGTCCTACTGAGATTTCTATCCAATAATCCTATTTCTGTCTCTCAAGGACTACAGAATAAGTGAGTTCCTTTTCTCAAGGACAGCAGCTTTTCATCTATTTGAGAATAGATGTAATACGTTCGCTGTAACTTTGCGTTGCCAAGCCAAACACACTCTGTCCTTTCAGTGACTCTACAAGTTATTTTAACTGGCAAGGCCCAAGAGGCAACATAATAAGCAATAGCTGAAAGCCCAGAACATGATTCTAAGAAAAAAATAAAATCTGTTTACTCTTGGAATCAGGCTCCAGCAAGTTTCCTAAACCAAAATCCTAGAGGGCAGTGAATGGCCAGCGTGGCCAGCATCATACCACACCCAGCCAGCCGCTCAAACACGACGCTTCATCAGTAACCTCCGCAGTGTCTGAAGCCAATTTAAAGCCCTCCAGTTACATTCGAGAGGCTCGAGTCTAGCACAGACACTAAGACTATCTTGTTAAAATCACCTTTTTATTAGAAGCTCTCTGTGCCAGAGTGATGTCAATTGGGCAGATTTTCCCTTTCCTCACAATGGGCTCTTGTCCGGGAAAGGTCACTTGATAGGCAGGCTGTAATTTTTCCAAACATCTGAAACAGGATTTAATAGTTGTAGACTGATAAAGTCAAGAGAAACCATTTCCTTCTACCCCGTGTGAGCAGGCAGTGGGAACAGGCTGGTCTTGGGGGCAGTGGCTGGCCCTGGGCTGCACATTGGCGTTCACTCCATCAGCAGGGTGTCAGAACCCCACCCCACGCAGGTTAAGTCAGAACCTCTCACCAGGTATACGGATTTTTAAAAGCTCCCAAAAATGCAGACAAATTGAGACCCACTGATTCCAGGAAGGGAACATCACTACTCAAGCCCCTGGGAGCTGTCTGCTGCCTGTCCTCCTGAGACCCCGCCCCAGGCAGCATCTAGGGTTTGCCACCTGACTCCAGATTCTACCTGACAAGTTTCTGACATGTTTGAATAATACATATCCCATGAGAACACCTTCCCCACAAGCAATTTCTGCCTTTCATCTAACAGCATTTTTCATTTTCTATACATGGGGACCAACAAACCCTTCTTACAAAGGGCCGGTCAGGGACTCTCAGGCTTCGAAGGCCACATGGTCTCTGCTGGAACTACTCAGCTCTGCTCCTGTAACACAGGCAGCCCACGACAATGCACAGTAGCACATAACTGAGGTGAGACTGTGCCTGCAAAACCGTATTTATAAACAAGAGCAGCAGGGTGGTCTTGGCCCAGAGCTGAAACTTGCTAATTCCTGACACAAACTATTTCAGTTTTGGTTCTGTGGAAAACAAGAATCTTTCCTTTGAAGAGTTTAAGACATTCCTCCCCCACCTTCCCCACAGCATTCTTCCTTCTTTGTGCTTCTAAATCTTTTTGAAGTTCTTATGTTTGATTAATAGCCCTTCTCCCTTTCCCTCTCAAGTTCCCCTGCATTGTGTTGATCTGAATTGTTCCCAAGACCTTCTATATCAGAATTCTACCCAAACCTGTTTATGGAACCCAATAAAGACTGTTACAATCTAAAGTTCCACATAACATACATGAAGGGGAGAGGGCTGAGGCCCTGGAGAGGGCCTGCGGTTCCCACTACCTGGTCAGGAGACTGTCCCACGGAAGCTTCACTACTGTGTGCTGTTCATCTTTCTCTAAGATGCAGTCACAAAGGATGGGATCCAATTTCACGAGACTAAAGGGAGAGAAGCAGCAATAAAGAAACCCCTGCCCTACTTCCTCTGACCGAAGGATCAATTTAGGAATCATCTTAGATTTCCCGTCATCATTCAGAATTATTAGAATTGGAGGACACAGCCCATAAAACAATTTGCTCTTCAGATGGTTCAAGTACACATTCTAGGACAAGGGAGCGTCAGGGGTGGAGGGGAAGAATGGGTAGGTATTCCTGGTCCGGTTCTGCTTCTAACAAACCAGATTATCAGTCTGAGAGCTCCACCCTTCATACCATGAGGCTCTTTTGAAAGTAAAAAGTAAATCAAAAACATTAAAAAACAGTGAAGGCAGTTTACCTTCTGTATCCAATTATTTAAAAAATAGAGAATACTACCAAAAGCTACAAAGACGTCAGCAAAATTTTTGAAACTTTGTATCTTATTGCTCATACCAGAGTCTGACCTGAAAATGTCAGGGTATACCTGAGATAATTTTGCCCAGTCTACAGTCAAGGTCGACAGCATATATGCATCTGAACACCCTAGAAAATAACTAGGTGCCCATGGCTCATGGTTTAGAAGCCATTGGTCTTACTTATGTCTAAGACTGTGACCTCCTCTACCACCCTCCATTCTAGACTCCTATAGATGTGTCTAAGTCTGTTAAAAAATAACACCTAACAAGACAAACACAGCTCTCCTCCCCGTTCACTCACTTTTTGTTGTCTGCATCAACTAGGTCATTTTTCTTGGCGTAGTCAATGACGATCGTCCGGACCTCGCTGCCCTCAAGAGTGCTCCCCTTCCTAGGTGAGGGGAAGCGACCTGGGTTAGCGCACGCTGTGTGGAGACCAACTGCCAGTGTCCAGACTTACTCCCTGCTCGGCAGGGTACCTTCCTCAGCTTTTTGACCTCTACTTTGTTCCCTTTCCCTGACTGAGGCCATCAGGACTGTGTGGGTGTAATCACAAGCAGAAAAGAGAGAGGTCTCATTCACCTAGTCCAGAGCCTCTTCCCAGGAAGGAGACATGAAGCGGATCTGGGAGAAAAGGAAACTGGAGCAGAGCAGGCTTGCCCATCACAGAAGACACTACTCAGGCTGAGAACTACAGGCCAGGACACCAAGCAGGCAGAAGAGGGCTGCTCTCCAAAAACTCACTTGTGGCCAGACTCCTGGAAGAGCAGGGTCATGCTGGCTGGGACACAGTAGAGGGATTTTATATCTGGAGGGTGATAGGGCTGTTCCCTGCTACCCTCCTGGACAGTCTGGGAAGTCGGGGAGGGCTCGGGTATGACGAAAGATGTGATCCTAAAACCCAGCAGAAGGAAAGAAAAAACACATTTTATACTACGTCTCACCAACTCCCAGTCCAAGGCCCAGGAGCCCTGGGGCCAGCTGGCTGTGGTGACCAGGCCCCTGCACTCACCTCGGGTGCTTCCAGTCCACAGCCACAATGCTCTCCACCCCTTTGCTCAGCTCCTTCACCTGTATAATCTGCTCCTGCTGCATTTGCTGCAGGAACTTAGAGAGCTAAGGGAGAGAGGGCAGTGGTAGGGACTTCATCGATTCCACACACACACTAAGCACCTATGACGTGCCAGCAGCGAGACATCCTAGGGAGGGGTGCGTGACAGGCCCTGCCTTTAACAAACTTGGACCTGGGAGGCCCCCATCTGAGGGCAGGGGAGTGAGACGCTGCTGGAGGCTAACTAGTGGTGACACCTTTCAGAACCCTGGTCAGACATAAAGGGGCTGAACGGAGAGAGAGAAGGTGGGGGGTGCCCGACCAACCACCTCAGCCCATGGAGTTTTCGTCCCCCCCTTGTACCTGCAATCAAAAAGCTTAATTCTAGTCTGAGCCCTGTAGACAGGGCTTTCCCAATGTCCATCGGCGCATGTCACGTGTGCCCCTACACGACCCTGCGTGGCTATGCAGAGAAGGCGCCTGCTTACCTTTTTGTAGCTCGACTTTTTTACATCCAACTGTCGTCCTTCAGGGCTGACGGCAGATGGAAAAGGCGAGTTAACAAGGAGTCACTCCCTCAGCCTCCCCCACACTCTCCCCAGGGCCACTGTTCCATTCTTGGCCCACTAGTGGCATCCAAGCGGTGAGCCGATGTGGCCGCACTGGAACACTGCTGTCCAACTAACTGACCTTGCAGTAAAGATGGAAGGTTCTTGATCTGTTTCGTCAATGGTAGCCCTAGCCACATGTGGCCAGCAAGCACCGGAAATGTAACTAAGGTGATGCAGAACTTGAATTCTAAATTTTAATTAATTTAAATTTAAATAGCCACATGTGGCTAGTGGCTACTGTATCAGGTAACAGCTTTAGATGCCTCTCAAACTAGAAACCCTCTGTGGCCTCAAAATTTTACTACAAGGTAAACCTTCCCAACACCAAGCTCTTTGGACAGTTAGAACAAGATTTGGCGCACTCCATCCTGAAGGCCAAATGTGGCCAAACCCGTCCATCTATGGTCAGTGGCTGCCTTGCCGCGACAACGGCAGGGGTGAGCAGCTGCACTGGAGACTGCACGACCTGCAAAACCTAAAATATGAATTATTTATTATCTGGCTCCTGACACAGAAAGTCTGCTAGCCTCTCCTTGTTCTAGGGCAGGCTCCTGATGGAACCTGACCTCTTTCCCTCTCCCTAGAACTTGCAGTGCGATTCATAAGGAGCCCTTCCAGAACACACCCTGGTGAAAACCTCTATCTTAGAGAAGTATCTAGGATCCTTTTCCCACTTACCTACAACACAGCAAGGTCAGGAAAATTATCGAGTATCCTGCCACACACCCCAGGCCCTACACTTGTGACTTAAAGGAGCCCATATACAAATAGAATTACATTAAAACCATTTTTCGAAAAACAGAACAAAATTCTCAAAAAAGAAAAAAAATTCAGTCTCAGGGAAAGTGTCCTGGCATCATAATATTTATTGGGTGCTTATTAACTGTCAGGTTATATAATAGTGACAACAGCCCTACAAATGCTGGAAATTAGGGCTCAGAGAAGCTCAGGAACGAGCTCAAATCTATGTTGCCCCAACACTCTGGGGACGAGCATTGAGCCCAGATGGCTCTGTCTTCCAAGTCGGGTTCTAGCCCCACATCCTCCTCCCTCTCCTGGCAGCTTGCGTTTGGGGCGGGGTGGGGGCTCACACTGATTCGTTCTGACACAACCTAATCTGGAGATGCATGAGGTAGGATGAATGTCCCAGGATCTTTCTGGACAGGACATGCTGCCCAATTTATGAGAGTGAGCCCAACCTCCCCCAGCAGAGGCAATGCTTTAAATTCCTCAAGCTCTTTTTACCAGTTACTATCAGCATTTCCAAAACTCAGAGCCTAGTCTATTTGCCAGATGAACCTTCCACTCCATCCTTCCCCAGTGTGTCCCTCCACCAGATCCCCCATCAGCCCTGCCCCTTGACCTCCAGCCCCCACCCCACCCCCTGTGCCTCCATACCAGCAGGAGAACATGTGGCTGCCAAGAAAAGTGCTGGTGAGTAAAGGGAGGTCAGCCTTTTTGACACGGCACTTCAAAGCGTGCAAGAAGCATCGCTGCAATAGCTCATCCATTTGCTCTGCAAGGAACAGACAGGAACCATATTCTTTGTGAGGGACACAGAAAGTCTGTGCAGCTCAAGAAAACTCCCCTTCAACTCCAGACCCAGCTCACCCCCGCCCTGGAAGAATCCCTCCCAGGTGCTGAAGCGCCCACACTCTCTTGAACACTGAGCCTGTGAAGAGGGCTGACCGCAGAGTAGGGGCCAGATGCATGGTCCCGGGCCAGGACTGCCAGAGAAATCAGAGCCACAAGAAACTCTGGGGGGCTCTGGAGCTGGAAAGGGTCCAAATGCACAGGCAGACTGGCACTCAAGAAGGCCCGACTTAGGTAAGAAAGACTCCCAGGTAAGACGTCAAGGGGCTGTTGCTGCACCTATCCCCACCAAGATTGAGGCCTTTCCCCTTCTCTCTAGTCTGAAGCAGAGCAGAGCCCTTCAGTCTCCCATCCAGAAGGCAGAGGATGGGTCCCTCTCCTGCCAGAGTTATACCTTGAAGGGTCTTGCTGTCTGTGGGCTCAGAGTTCAAGCTCCCGACATTAGGGTCTTCTGAGGCTTCTAATGGGGACTTCTCCCCACATATTTGATGAATCTCCCCATTTTCATCCTCTCCCTCCAGGGTCAGATGCCTCATGTCTCCCTGCAGGGCGGAGTCTACCTGGACAGAGTCCTTCTCGTCACTGAGTTCTGGGGCAGCGAGGGTCAGTGGAGCGATGGAAGGTGGAGGGGACTTGTCTCCAGATCGCCTGGAAAAATCTCATGTCAGAAACACCAAGCAGCAGCCACAACACTCTCCAACCCTGGTCAGGTGCTCAGCCGGAAGTCCCGAGACAGTAAGGCCACAGCAGGCATCCAGGAGAAGGCAGAGAACCTGGACTCTCATCTCAACTCTATTTCCAATTCTGGGCTCAGAAAAGTGCCATGTCTCAGTTTCCTCATCTCTGAAATGGGGAGAGTAATTCTGGCCTCCTCCCTATCCCAAAGGAATAATAACACTATTAATAAGACATCCCGAGGCAGAGAACGATGAAACAAAAAGCAGTTAAAGAGAAGCCCCCCAAAGCATTTCCTTCATATGAGTTAAAAGCAATAAAACCATTTTGAATTAAAAAACAAAACTAAGGTTGTAATGCATCTGTTCAAACCAGTTTGGTGACATACAAACCCGAGGCTCAGTGTCTACAGCAAAGCATAAACTGGACTCCTCAGGATTGCAAAATCAGTTGTATCTGTTAAATCAGAATGCAGCCTAACTTGCAGAGTGGAGACTAGGTACTACTAAGGTACCACTAAGCCTCGGGAAGACAGGAAAGAGCAATGTCACGTGGTAGAGCATGCAGAGAGGTAAAGCAAAATGTTTTATCTCATCCAAGATTATGTAAATCACACTGAGTTTTCTCTAACAGCACAGCAAGGCTTATCAGTATTCCTCACAATGAGACCAGAGTGTCTGTTTAGGTCAGTCTGATGAGGCAAACGGCAGAACTGTTTTTCAAAATGGGGGGGGGGGAGGAAAATGAGACAGCCACTGATAAAACAGCTTGGACAATGTGAACTTGAATGCAGTAGCCCAGACTTACGGGCTAGGAGAACACTGGTGGGTAATCCCCAAATGTTTGCTAAAACATAATTAGTAAGGTCCAGCAAAGCAGGGCTCGGACAACATTTACAAAAGGAATAAACTCTAAGAATGGGCTAAAAATAGAAGGATGAATCTTTAACAGGTCACAGTGGTTGGCCAAAAGAGCAGAGCTTGTGAGAAAAGCATCGTCTGATGCTTTGGTAAAACGTTAAGACAATAAACTGGTGTGGGGCTCCAGAAAGCAACTGAGAAAGTCTAGCCTCCACAGTGAGAGGTCTGATATGTGAAACATAAAAGAACAACATAAAAGTAATCAGGTTCTCACCCTGGTGCTGATTTAATTTGGATTCAAGAGTGAGAACGCTGGAACTCATCATGGGGCCTAATGTGTGGCAGACCCGAGCCCTGCCCATAAAGACCACTGCGTGGGACAGAGAGAGAAGCCCTGGGGCCTAGGGTTCCACATCTCACCTAGAAAACCATCAACGTTCTCTCTAATTTCTTGTCCAAATAGGAAAAAAATCGTTTCTCCACATTTAGCAAGGAAATTAAAGTCTGGGGTAAACAAGTTGCTAAGGACACAGGAAGGACTGAAAGTCTCACTTCTGAATCTTAGGTCCTGTGCCCTCACCACCCATCCAATTCTCGGTAAAACAGAAGAAACAGGGCTTCCCTGGTGGCGCAGGGACTAAGTCTCAGCGATATCAAGCTATCACCAGCCACTGCGGCATGAGTTTGATTTTTGGCCTGAGAGCTGACCCACATGGCGCAGCAGATCTCTCCTGTCACACCCTCTGCTCCCCTCAGCAATGTGTTTCAGTAGATCCACCTGTTCTGCTGTCTCTGCTGTCCCCACTGTCTCTGGTGAATCCTCTCACCCCCTACACCTCTGGCCTATACCTCAGTTCTTGTATGCATAAATAAATAAAAATAAAATCTTAAAAACTAAAAACAACAAAAGAAATGCTGAACCCACCACAGGTGATCCTGGTAGGTGTGGAGCACGGAGAAGCCCCTGCCCTTCAGGCCCGATGACAACATCTCAACTGTGGACATGGCAGCGACTGCAATGGCGACGGGAGCCCTGAGGAAGAGGTGGACAGAGACAAGGGTCAGGGCATCTGCTGGGTGGCTCGGCCTGGCCTCTCCTCAATGTGCTGAAAGCACCCTGGTTACAAATATGAAGTACCCACTTGTAGCACAAAACTAAACCCAATCTAGTCTCAATTTTCTTCAATTACCTATGACTTTTAAAAAATCCCTTTACCAAACATTCATCCTCTGAATGAGTAACTTCCCTGCTGACATTATCACTGTGTTTTTTTTACTCCTAGTGTGAATTATACCTAGGCAAGAAGAGGCAGGATATTTAAACTTCTCTTTCTTTCATTTAAAAATATAAATTACCTCCCCAACCTTAAAGACACAGCCATCTAGATACTGGATACCATAGGAAGAAAGACAAAATAAATAATAGAGCCAACTTTTTGTAACAAGCTTACTCTGTGTAACTACCACAGAACTAGGTGTGCCCAGAATATCAAAAACAATCACCTTTATAGTAACTACAGAACCTTGAGCTGGGCGGGAACTGTGTCAGCCCAGTGTTACTCAGACACTGCTCTCATTTTGCCTGTAAGGTTTGTGATGGGCTGGACTGCAGCAGAGGAGCAGTCTCTGGTGAATCTTGGCCAAGTCACCTAGAGCAGTCCAGATCTAAGGGAGAAAGTTCAAGGGCAGAGTTCCCAACACCTGAACTTTAAAAACTGTTTGCTAAACCTCCTTGTCAATTACTGTGCCTACAAGTCAGTTCTCATGACAGAAATTTCAAATCTAGCTTGTCTCCCAGTTCCTAAAAGAGGGGTCTTTTTCATCTACCACTGGGTCAGTGGCTCAAAAATTTCAGTCTCGAATGTAACCTGTGTTTTCAATAAACCTCCTTATCCCCTTATTCCCTGCCACCAACTGCTCCCAAGCTTTATCCCCACATATACTCTAAAGTCTAAACTGAGCCTTTATATCGTTTTCTACTGTACCAGATAAAATGTTGGGTGGAAAAGCAACGCCACCACCATTCTTGTAAGCCTAACAGTTCTGCTTTTTCAGTATATGCTCTAGAAAACTGTGTTCTGCGAAAGAGACTATTTGTGATACAAACTGGAGGCAATCACAATGTTCACTAGGAGAAGACCTATTACCACACAGCAGGTAAAAAGATCCAGTGTATCTGTGCGTGCTGAAATGGAAAATGTCCACACTATCATAAGAGAACAAAATCAATAAAGTATAGTTCTGGGTGTATTTTTAAACCTACAAACCCCAATTTTTATATGCACCATGCATATACGCATTTAAGAAGGCTCTGATATGCATCATCTGATATGCATCAAAATGATAATAGCTATTTCTAGGAAAAAAGATTTGTGGGGTGAGGGGACTTCTGATTATGCGCATGACTACTTCCTGGTTTACCTAAAAAAAGAAAGTGTGATAATGGCTGACCAACACTGTAAACAGATGAAAAGCATGGAATTGTCTGTTTAAAACAGGTGAATTTTACAGTATGGGGGAAAAGTGTCAAGTTCATGAAAGACAAGAAAAGACCAAGAAAATTTCACAATCAGGCAACTAAACAGTCATGATAATTAAATGCAATGTAGTAGCCTCGATTAGATATAGGAAAAAGCATCATCAGTGGAAAACCTGGGGAAATATAAATAAAATCTGTAAGTTTGTTAGTAGGACTCTATCAGTGTTAATTCCTTAGTTTTGATAACTATACTGTGGGCATATGAGGTGTTATCATTAGAGAAAGCTGGGTAAGAGATATTTCAGGCCTTCATACCATCTTTGCAACATCTCTGTAAATCTAGAATTATTAAAAAAAAAAAAATCAAAACGAGAAGCAGTAACAGCAAGTATGTTCAAGCCCAGACATGGGGACATCCCACAGGCTTAGTGCTGTTTCCCCAACGCTCCATACTCTGCTTCTTCCCAAAGACCCTAGTGCTTTGTTTTGTTTTTCATTTAATCCTTTATCCACATGTTATGGATGCTTTCATTCCCCATTCCCCTTTCAGTTACGTTTTCCCAGAAGCACAGTTGGCTGGCACAGTTACCTGTTCCCCACCAAGACAATGGCACAGAGGTCACCCTTCTGTACCTGAGGCAGACCAGCAGGGGGCACCACCAGTCCTGGCAACATTAAATCTGCAGCAAAGAAACGAAAAGCATCACAACCTTGCCTTAAGCCTCCATCTAATTCCATCTTTACTTCACCATTTATTATTTACTCAACAAACAAACATTATTAAGTATTAACTATGTTATTCATGATGAAAATTTTAAATGGCAACCTGAGTATCAGACTTTTCCCTTAGGGGAGGATTGGGGAAGGGGAGACCCTGGTGGTCAAACTGAAGCACCAAGCTGAGGATCCAGTTCCACGACCTAGCTCATCCTGGCTTCCTAAATTCAGCTTATTGATGTCAAGTATGGCAGGTCACAAAGTACCTTCACATCACTTATCTTATTTAGACCTTATAACAAGGTCAGAGAGGCCTAGAGTTCATGGAACCAGCCAAGTGTAAGACACAACACACAGTGGTGAGGGATGGGGAAGACACCTTGAAGATTTCATGTTTCAGCTGCATGAATGCAGGAAGTGAGTACAGTTATTAAATTAGTCTCTAAGTAGGTTAAGACAATAGCCAGAATATAGTAAAATCTTACCTGCTCCGCCCACCAGTTTTTCGAGCACCAGAGGCCATGTTGTGAAGGTTGGCAGAAGATCTGGATAGGACCACAGAGTGTACACTGCCCAAATAGAAAGCCAGAAAACACTTATTGCCAAAAAGTCAATCCCCTGGGAAACAGGCAAAGTCAAACACTGTGGTCAGTTTAACTAGGAGAGAAAAGAAACTCAAGTCATGGCTAAGAGAGGTTATCAGGGGATATACCCAATGAGGCTTCATTCTTGAGGACAGAAGAGACTTAGGAAACTGAGACTTGGAGGTACCTATTGTTCCACTTCCATTGCAGTCACAGCAAATGGCCACAACGAATAAAAGTGGGGACAGACCCTGTAGGGATTGTATTTATGACAGAAGCAAGAAACCCAAAAATAGGACTTCAGTCTGTAAGAAAATTTTAAACATTTCCATGTTTATTATTTTCATTTCTCTGTTTCTATAGTGACCAGTGGGACCTGTGTTTAAACAGGAGCAAAGAGGGGTAGCGGTAGGATGGCCTAAGGAGACTGCATTGCATTGTTACAGCCAAGCATGGAAGAAGAAAAGCCCCAGGTAACAATGTGGGTGTCAGCAGTTATGGGGGGGAAATGGGGGCTGCATCTGTGAAATCTGTGACAAAGAGAAAGCAAATAATTCTGAGTCAGTCAGAGCCTAAGAAAGACCTCTGCTGATGTACATCACTAAGCTTAATTACTATAGCTTCTTTCCTATAACAGTATTTCTTCAGCATCTTTAAAAAAACTCTGCTTTTAAAAAACTTTTTTTACATGTCCAGACAGTCTACCCTTTTCAAGACCTATACCCTTTCCATCCCAGTTAACCCATTTTAAACTATTGTTCCTTCATTTTCAGAACTTCCTCTAGCAACTTTCTCTTTTCTGTGTCAGCCCTGTTTTTCTCTCCTTTAGCAGTATCTGGTACTGAAAGATTCCATTCTAGGAACAGTAGGCCCATGAAGATCCTTAGGGAAGATGCTGGGAGATATTGGGTGTGTTTGTCTTGTGAAGACAGGTTAATGGAAGAAACAGAGAGAAGCAGATGTCAGGCAAGAACTCGAGTCATGGCCATGTCCATCCTATTGCCATACCTGTGGGATATAGATTTTTCTCCAGTTCAAATAGGATGGGGTTACCACCACTCATATACACAGTCACTGCATCCCCTCTGTAAGCATACAACTTCACAACGTTGAGTTCCTCCTTTCCAGGTACTAGCTCAGAGACCTGATCAGTTCCAAGGGTGGGGAAAGCAGCTGTCACATCAGCACGAAGTTTTCGCCTGCAGAAAGCACACCAATACAAGATATGAATGCTGCCTGGATGGATTTTAATAATATATGAATTATACATTATTATATATTTATCACATTATCTAATAAATATATACTTATCATGTAAAATAATAGAGTGGATTCAAAAGGATTTACTATAAAATCATGAGGGTCAAGAAAAGACTGCTGGTTTGTGATTGCTCCATTCTCACACTCTTCCAGGATATTCTATTCTCTTTCTTATTCAAAGAGTCATCTATTTTCACACATTCCTAGGGCCTGTCTGTCCATTTTACATAGAGAAAAAATGAGGCTCAGTGAGCAATCCAAGATAGTCTGACATTGGAAACGCAATCCTGCCCTCCTGACTCCATGTCTTCCCCATGGACTAACTCCTTTCTCATATATGCTTAGCAGTTTACGATTAAATAGTATACCAGGGCACCAGAAATGACAACTCTGGAACACTGGCTCTAAAATTGCAAAGGTAATGTTTGCATTTGTTGCAGTACTGTCTGAATAGCCACAGCTCTTCTTATCACATGTACCTTATCCTCTCCTACCTCTGTCTGCCCTGCTGTAAATAATAACTAGACACTGTTTCTCATACATTTGTAGTTCTCGGTTCTCTATCTGATCTCTCCCAAAATCTTCTAAGCTCTTTGGAGGGCAGGGACTCTGTATTCCTTCATTTTTGCATCGTCCACAATACCTTAAATAATGTGTGATGAATAAACGCTGCTTATTACGTTGTCTTTTCAACTCATTAGAATATCCAAAAGAGGACCTGGGAGATAAATCATCGTCACCCTCAAAATGTGTCTAACCCACCCTTGTCCCTGAGGCCCCTTCCCCGGGCTATACCCCTCGGCCTTCACCACGGCGCAGCTGAGACAACCCAGAGCGGGCTGGTCGGCCGACCGGGCCTGAGACGACTGGGCGCCCTGCTGGGCGGCGTAGGCACTGCCCTCCCTCACCTGTCCGACCCCTTGATGGCCGTGTTGGACTTGACCCGAAAGGCCTTTGCAAACATGTCTGCTGGAGTGGCGTGGGGAAGGCAAGGAGAGCACAGAAGTCAGGAGCTGTCAGGAAAGTGAGAGCGCGACAGCTCCCCGACCCGCAGCCCTGGGGGCAGCCATGTCGGGGACCGGCTGGGAAAGAGGCCCGGCTGGAAACTCGGGCCGCTCAGATTCGCGGCTGTTGCTGCTGCGGAGGTAGCGGCGGCCCCTAGTGGCGGGTTGAGGTACTGAGGCAGGTTGGAGCAGGGCCCCCCGGAGAAGGTGCGGACCCCTGCGCGGGGCGTGACGCCACGCCCACAGCCGCCGGCCGGCTTTGCGCCTGCGCGAGCACGCGGCGTGAGCCTGTTGTCTGTGATCACCCGCCCGCGCTGGGACGTCCGGCAGTTTCCTCGCCGTCCGCGCCCGAGTGTGTTGCGTTAAAGCCCTGTCAGCCCCCGTTCCATTCGATTTAGTTAAGTGCCACGAAATTAATTGAACTTTTGTGTTTTCTTAAATTTGCAATCCTCTTGAACGCTTTCCTAAAGACTTACTTATTAAAATCTTTACATTTTATTGCACGTTGGAGGCCTCAGCTAGGATTTTCTCCAAGATTTTCTCCGCCCTGTCTGTTTATGTACGTGGGATGACGGTAACAGGCAGTCCACTCTCAACCCAAGGTTGCGTCTCATCTTATGAGGGGAAGAAACTGCAAACGCCCTGCAAATCTATTGTTTTAAAATATTTCTGGCCATTTTTATGTACCTTTTGGGTTCCATTTTATTTGGGGATTTGGCTTACATCGTAATTAAATTCAAATTGCTTATTTTAAAAGAATCTGTGGGAACAGAATCTACGAGACAGATTAGAATGAAATTAAGGTTTGGTTTATCTAGCACTGAGATGACCAACGGCGTCTTTCTGAAGCTTACATAGGGCTCCCGTGAGAAATAATTGAACTAGTTAGTGTATGTGCACGGTGCTGTGCAAATTCCCAATAAATAGTAGTTAGTCTCAGGCGGGTGAGGAATTAGGTTTCCCTGAAAGAAACAGCTGTGCACCCTGGAGGCAAGGATTTAAACAGATGGGGTTCTCACCCCTACTAAATGAAATTATGCATATAAAAAACTTCAGAGTAGAGTGTCCATCAAGAAAAAAGGCCCGATTTATTGATTTGATGACACAGTGGTTAAAAAAAAAAAAACAATTCCACGCCGGCTAAGGAAAAGCCACAGTGTCAACACATCGCTGCATTTGGAATCGTCGCTACTAGGACTCTTTTATTCTGAAATACCACAGTTTACAAGGCCAAACTCAGAGGAGCTCAAAAGAACAAGACTACAGAGCCCTGCCCCACCCCCACCCGTCACACTAAACTGATGCAGTCTTGTGTCTCAACTGCTGTTGACGGCTCGTTGCAACACAGCTGTTGAAGAAGCCTCTGACCAGAGACATGGAAGATTACTTGCTCATCGAATACTAGAAATTTCAAGCTGGGAAAGTATTGTATACCATATGTTGTGGATAAGAAGGCAGAGATGATTAGCCTAAAATTAATTTGTGGTTGACATGTGGGAGCCAAGACCCAGGGGGATGCTGCACCTCGGCATCCTGCTTCCCTTCCCCACTGGAAGAGCAAAATCTCCCTTTCCCCAGGTGGGCACCATTCCTCCTCCTCTGCCTGCATTGCCAGTCTGCCAGCTTCCTCTTAGTGGCCTCTTGCCAGGCATGGTAACTAAACCCTGAGTCCCACCAGCCCGGGTTGACTAATATTCCTTTTGCAACTCTATTGCAGCCCACAAGGTTCCTGTTGCCCACTCTTGGTCTGCCTTGCAGAACTGCTTCAAGGCACAGAGCTGGAAGGCTAGGAAGTCTGACATCTGGAGGGTCATTTTAACTAATATACCTACCAGTTACATGACTGTTTAAGATGGATTCCTTCAAGAATAAGAAATATTTTGAAGCAAGAGTAGAGGAGAAAAGAGGTTCTTCTTTCCTTAGCTTTCCTTTCCCCCAATGAACTCCAATGGAAAAATTCAACTTATTTAATTCAATAAAACTCTACTAGATACTTCCTGGTCAAGTTCTGTGCTTATTAAGATGAGTTGAACACTGGTCCTTTACACTTAAGAAGTTCACAGTCTGACACATAGCATTTGTGTCCTCCTAAAATCCACAGAATGAGTTGGGGTACCCAGACTGATACTCCATCAACATCTTCTTGGTCTTTACCCCTTCTTTATCCTTCTCTGTACTTCTATTGAAAGGCAAACTCAAATCCGTGAAAACATGGATCATCAACATTTATATTTCAGATACAACCTATGGTTTGAGAATTCTCTGATGGACCCTGGTGACTTTTCAAATGGATGGGTATTTTCACATTTTGAAAGTTATCATGGTGTCACTACTCACATAGATACAAGTTGGGACGCAGGGTTTTGTTTACTTTTCCAAATAGTCTCATGCTCATTCCACCAAAAATTCTGAAACCATAGGTTGCATCTGAAATATAAATGATGATGATACATGCTTTCCTCATATTAATGCTGTGAGTAGTTATAGTTGTCCCCTTTTGTAAGGTGAGGGATATGGAGCACAGAGAGATTAACTTGTCCATGTTCATACCTTGAACCATTTACCTATGTTGATAATTTAATGTGCAGATGATGCTTTCCAATCACTAGGGAAAAATGAATCTAACAAATAGTATCAGGACAAATGCCTATCCATTTGAGGGGAAAGGAGAGTTTAATTGGCTTAAACATTTTATAAAAAGAAATTCCAGATAAAGATCCGATTTTATTTAAAAGCCAATCACAAAACTAAACATACTCTTACCATATGTTGCTGCAACTGATATCCTTTGTATTTACTTCAATTAATTGAAAATATACATCCATTCCAAAACCTGTGCATGGATTTTAATCACAACTGCAAAATCTTGAAAGCAACCAAGATGTCCTTCAAGGTATAGAATATAGATGTCCGTAGGTATAGAATGGATTTCAAAATAAAGTCCAACCTTCTGTTGTTTATAAGAAACCCATTTTACTACCAAAGACAAGCAGAGACTTAGACTTAAAGGTTGGAAGACAAGGAAATGGCAACCAAAAAAAAAATTCTGGTAGAGCTATATTTATTGCTAGAGACCAGCTAGAAGTCGTGTCAGGGATCTCAGAAAGGAGAGGACAGCGACAGCGTCGGTGAAATTTTTTCCGAGGGCTGAGGGGAAGTGGAGTGAGGTAGATGAGGTAGTGAGGAGACACTGACACTCTCTCTGGTGCAAGTATCTCCTACTGAGGGTCTCAGCAGGTCTTCATTTATATCTTAAGGCAAGCGGTGAGATTACATCAGCATAAGCATCAAAGCAGAACAGAGACAATCATTACATATTTTCTCATGAACATACAAAGACCCTCTTGATCTCATACTACAAAGGACATTTCTTTAATCTGATTAAGAAAAACAACAGGGACCATTACTCTCCTTGGTACAACTCATTTTCTAACAGAATCAATTGTCTAAGACAGTACAATGCTCAGTAACAAGCAATCATCCTGTCAAGCCTTCCTAATTTTGGAGTGGACATGAAAGTCCAGTGTTATGCTATATTACTAAAATCAACCCATTCTCTAGCACTTAATTAATCTAGCCTATTTATCAATTACTTCAAAGTGATCTAAAGTAGCTCATCAATACTGTTTAGTGCTATAGAAATCTAACTTTTAACTAGAAATACCTAACCTCCACACAACCTGCGAACTGTTAACTTTTCTCATACACCAGGAGATGTACTGTTGCCGCAAACAGATACCCACCAGGTTAGGCTATGGTTTCCAAGCACAGCTGGTTCAGGGCAGCTTGTTCTCCACAGTTCTCAGGGCCAAAACATTTCTTTCCTAACTATACCTTTAGCATTTTGTACTTTTTTTGATACTGATTCAAGTGTAAGAACAATAAATCAATTAATGTCTAGGTCCGAATTGGGTTTACACATGCCAATTAATAAC